TTTTGTGAGTGGTTCCTGTTTCATTCTTCTGCATGTGGCTATCCAATTTTCCCAGCATCATTTATTGAATAGGGCTTCTTTTCCCAAGTGTGTGTTGTTGTCTGCTTTGTCAAAGATCAGTTGGCTATAGACAGATGGTTTTATATCTGGGTTGTCTATTCTATTCCATTGGTCTATGTCTCTATTTTTGTGTCAATACCATGCTGTTTTGGTTACTATAGCCTTGTAGTATAGTTTGAAGTCTGGAAAATTTTTAAAGTCAAACCATAAAACATCTAGAAATATAGGCATAGTGATACACATTTTAAATATTTTAGGGCCTTTTAAGTTTAAAAGCATAAAGATTCACCAAAAAAAGATATTTAGACTTAAAAAAAATATTTTAAATAATTAATGGATGAAATGTCTTGAGCCTGATTTTAAAAAATTTCAATTTATATATCACAGAAGCTCAGCAAACCCCAAGCAGGATAAATAAAAATGAAATTTCATCAAGGTACATTTGCTATTTTCCAGTGTTACTTAGGTTAATATGTTTCTTACCCACCTCCTTCAGGTAGTTGTATGTTATTCATTTGTAATATAGTTAGGTTCTTTCGTCACAATATGTATTCTTTTTGGATTACATGCATGCTCATGTATTCCAAAGGATTACATGCTCAGGATTACATGCTCATATTCTTGTTCTCTCTCTCTCTCTCTCTCTCTCTCCTGATTTTAATTAATTATCATTTCTGGGGAGGATGTGAAACATAATCATGATTCTAAGAGTCAGAACTACAAAATGTACTCAGAGAAGTATCACTCCCCCCAGTCCCTTCTACCCAATGCCTACTCTCTCATTCTTTCTGCCCTGTTCCCACTCATCCTCTGTAGGTAAACAATGTCATTAGTTCTGTTTTATTATAGGTTTATCCTATATTTATTTTTGTATAAATAGATATATATGTACACATATATATACACACACATATGCATATATATAATCCCACACAGGGCAAGATTTCCTAAATAGGATACAGAAAGCACTAACCATAAAGTAAAAAAAACTGTACTATATTAAAATTAAGAATGTCTCTTCAAAGTCACCATTTAAAGATTGGAGGAATAAAATCCAAAGACCAGAAAAAGATATTTGCAGTACATTTATCTAACAAAGATTCATATTTAGGATAGTTTGAGAATTCTTACAAATTATTAAGAAAAAGACAGACAACCAGTTGCCCTATAATAGAGACAGAAATGATTTCAGGAGTTTTGCAGGGCTTTGCCCTGAAGGAATATGTGAACGTGTTACTTCACATATCAAAAGCTGTCTCGCCTCAGGAGGACATCTCACCAATCGGTAGCACTTTAGTGCTTTCCACAACGCTGTCTCAGACCTGTCGGCTTGCACCTGATGCTTCTGTACCACAAAGCTCGGTATGGGGCCACAGGTGGAGAACTGATCAAAGAGTGCCTGCCTGACAGACACCTGTGGCTAAAAGCAATTAGCCTAAGGGACAGTTTCTGCTTCACTCCTGACTACCTATCTCAATCAACAAAAAACTAGATAAAGAAATATAGAGCCACTATATTTCTATTTAGCCTTTCTGCTAACTGATAATTTTATCTTAGAACTTAGAAGTTTGTCTTAGAAAGATTTTGTAACCATTTGCTCACATAGATAGAGTTAATTAAAGGATCTCTAGAAGATTTTTGGGAGACTTTAAACCTAAAGGTACTTACCTATTATTATATAAATCTGTTACCACTGGCAACCTATCACTGTACCAATAAATACTGATGCAGGACTTCAATTGTGGCCTCACAGCTCATGGGAATGTTGGAGGCCCCCTGGCTCCCCATCTTTTAAAACTGTACTTTCATCTCTGTGTCTTCTTTTATTTCTGTATTCTCTACTTTCTATTATTTCCTTATCTTTTGCAATGACCCCTGCCAAAGGGATCCGATTTTCGGCTGGGAGTGTAGCTAACTCCCTGCAACAGCCCAATAGAAAAATGGGCAAGTTCGGGCGCAGTGGCTCACACCTGTAATCCTAGCTCTCTGGGAGGCCAAGGCGGGTGGATTGCTCAAGGTCAGGAGTTTGAAACCAGCCTGAGCAAGAGCAAGACCCCGTCTCTACTATAAATAGAAAGAAATTAATTGGCCAACTAATATATATAGAAAAAATTAGCCAGGCATGGTGGCACATGCCTGTAGTCCCAGCTACTCGGGAGGCTAAGGCAGTAGGATTGCTTGAGCCTAGGAGTTTGAGGTTGCTGTGAGCTAGGCTGACGCCATGGCACTCACTCTAGCCTGGGCAACAAAGTGAGACTCTGTCTCAAAAAAAAAAGAAAGAAAAATGGGCAAAAGACTGGAACAGGCACTTCACCATATGAGATGTCCACGTGACTAATAAACATACAAAAAGGTCAGCAACTTCACTGCTCACCAGGGAAATGCAAATTAAAGCAGAAATATGATATTACTAATGATATTACTACATACTCACTGGAATGGCTAAAATGGAAAGAATGTATAATTCCAAGTATTGAATAGGATATGAAATAATTGGAACTGGTGAGAGTATAGTCGGTACAACCATCTTGAAATATTGTTTGTCAATATCTAATAAAGCTGAACATATATATGCCCTATAACCCAAAACCTCCATCCTTGGGTTGTGATACATCTTTATAATAATGTCCCCAAATATATCATGCCTCCCTGTAATGGCAGTACTACAGCATTTACACTGTATTGCTGCCATTTCTCCCAGCAAGAGATGGATATTTCTTAACCCCTTTGAATCTGTGGCTGGCATTGTGACTTGCTTTGACCAATAGAATATGGCAGAACTGGTCTTCCAGAGTTCCAGCACACAGGTATTAATAGGTTTGCAGCTTCTCCCTTTGCCCTCTTGGACCCAACCACCATGTAAAGAAGTACAGAATATGCTGCTGGACAGAGAGGCTGCATGAGAAGAATAGAGGTAACCAGGTTAATAGCCAATACCAAAGTCCCAGATAGGTGAGTAAAGCCATTTGGACTTTCCTGCCCAGCCAAGCTAGATGAATGAGCTCAACTGATACAACGTGGAACAGAGACAAGGTGTCCCCAGTAAGCTCTGTTCAAATGCCTGACCCACAGAATCACAAGCAATAAAATGGCTGTTGTTTTTAAGCTACTACATTTTGGGGTGGTTTGTTATGAAGCAATAGATAACTGAAAATGAGTATATAGCCAAAGAAATGAATATACATGTTTACCAAAAGGGATATGTACAAGAATGTGCATAGCAGCACCATTTAAATCACCAATCTGAAAACAACTCAAATGCCCATAAACAACAGAATGGATAAATTATGGTATATTATTAAAATGGAATATTATTCAGCAATAAGAATGATCAAATTATAAGGATGACTCTTATGAATATAATGTTGCACAAAACAAGCCAGACTCAAAAGAGTATATATCATATGCTTCCATTTATATAAAGAAGTTCAAAAACGAGCAAAACTAATCTAGGGTGTAAAAGTTAAGAAAGTAATTGGGTGGAGTAGGGGTTGGGTAGTAATTAGAAGAGGGTAGAGGGGGGCTTCTGTGGCTCTGATCATGTTTTATTTCTTATTTTGGGTGCCTGTTACATAAGTGTGTTTAAGAAAATTTATTGAGTCATACAATTTGTGCACTTTCCTATAATATATGAGGGCTATCTGGAAAGTATTCAGCCATAATTTTCATATTACATGGCTAGATACTTTCTGGACAGCCCTCGTATGTTATACTTAAAAAAAAAGTTTACACAAAAAGATTAAATCACTGTCCCCCTTCTTTGATAAAAATAATTTGTTATATTTTAAAATCACCTGTATAATTTTATAAATGCATATTTTTAAAAATACCGAGTCTGAGTAAATATCTCTAGGCTGGAACCCATCCATCTGTAGCTCTGAAACTCCTTAAGTGATTTTGGTGAAGTGAGCCTGGATTGAAATCTTAGGTCATTAGCAGAAAGAATGCTGTTTCATTTCATCATTATTATATTTCCTCTCAAAAACATTTTTGCCAAAGAACATGAAGCACAAGCAACTGTCCTCAAACTGCAATTATCTAAAAGAAAGAAAATGGCAAAGTACCCACTTCCACCCACTCCCCACTCCAGGTTTGGCTATTTCACCATTCGGAAAGCTTCTACAGATCATTAAATGCTTTAATTAGTTTCATGCATATGTACTTAGCTCAAATCATGCCATTAAAACACCATTCTTTTACCACTTTGAAAGGTGTTTACCAGATTATTTAAAATATGCTCCTAGATGCCATATATATTTTAATTAGAGCAAAAAAATAGTTGGCCCAAATAAAAGAAAAATGAGTTTTTAAGTCTGGTATACCTTGGAGATAATAACAGGCAGATCTTAATTTTGCAGGAGAAATACATGCTTTGTGAATAATTATAATTTTAAATTCATTTTTGAACCACATATATATTGTCTCTGTCTGCTTCAGAATGACTAGATGATAGACAGATATATAATAGAAATGACAGGCATAGACAGATAGATAGAGATATATACATAGGGTAGCAAAGAGACATAATGGGGCCAATTGTGTTTAATCCACCATTTTCCCCTAGATTTGCTCCATGAAATACTCAAGATATTTTGATCTCTCAGCACAAAATTTTGTGGATGAAAAATAAGATTCTCTTTACTAAGCTATTTTTGTGCATCAGTAGATTGTAGCTCAGAGAAGGTATTCAACAAATGAATGAATTCTAATTCAGATTTTTGAAAAGTGGAAAAATTAAATGGCCAATTTAGTCCACATCATCCAGAGAGGAACAAAAGGCAGTTGAACGTATTTCACCAGTTGCTGAGTGTCACGTAAACAAAAGAGGTGGGCATCGTCTTAATTTCTTAGGGTTCTCCCATCTTCAGAATTTATATCTTTTGATGAGGGCAATTCAATATTTAATGAGTACTTTTCCAAATACTAAACTTTTCACTTACCTGGATCATCCTCACATATATGTGTATAATTTTCCAGCATGAAGGAAAAGAAACTGGACAGCTAGACAAAATAAAAATACATTCATCAATTAATGAACACCAAACAACTACTGTAGCAAATACTATCCCCTTACTCTTCTGGGGCACTCGCCTGCCAGCTGCTGCAGGTGTTAAGAGTCACACCTATACCTGCCTCCAGAGGTTTCCCTCCCAGATGGGCAGCACCTCACCCAGAGCTACAGAGGATATTATAAACACACCCCTCACGGAGGGCTGCCCAGAGCCAATGACTGGCTGAAGCAAGGATATAATGGCCCAGTCCCCCACCTCCCTTGCTCCTGCGAGGGACAAACTGTGATGCATTTCACACTTGAGGGCTCCCAGTGGGATCAGGCTAAGGTCAGACTCTCCCAAAAAGCACATTTTTGCCAAGCTTCTTCACTTGTCCTAACTCACTCTCCTCACTCCCTTGTAAGTTTTCCATGAGAACACTCCTTTAGTAAGTTACTTGTACCAGAATCCCTGTCTCAGACTCTGCTTCTAAGAAATCTAATCTAAGATAGCACTAAATTTTTCTCATTATGATCTCTTATTTTCTTTTTGGTGGTGAGATTCAGAGTTAAGGAATACTCTTAAATACCAAATATATTTCAGAAATAAAGGAAGAGAAATGTAGAAGTCCATCAGCATTCCAAGCATTACCTAGGTGCTGCCTCTATACCTACCAATGATCTGCAAAGACTTGCATTTATATAGCACAAATAATTTCTTCTTCAAGTCCTTCTTCCCACGAAGAGTGAACACTAAGGAACTTTATCAATCTGGGAGTAGATCTGGTAGTTGAGGGAAGGAAGATTTTCCATACAAATATCAAAATGTATTATTTTAATGTTGTCGATGGGTGTATCAATTAAGAGTCAATAGAAACCATAATTAGATATCACTTCATGCCTTTAATCAAAAAGACAGATAACAAGTGTTGGCAAAAATGTGAAGAGGCTGGGCATGGTGGTTCATGCCTGTAACCCTAGCACTTTGGGAGGCTGAGGCAGGAGGATCACTTGAGGCCAGGAGTTTGAGAACAGCCTGGGCAACATAGCAAGACCCAGTCTCTACAAAAAATAAAAAAATCAGCCGGCTGTAAGGACACACTCCTGTAGTCCCAGCTACTTGGAAGGCTGAGGCAGGAGGATCACTTGAAGCCAGGCACTGGAGGTTGCAATGAGCTATGATGACTCCACTGCACTCCAGCCCGGGCAACAGTGTGAGACTCTGTCTCAATCAATCAATAAATAAAAAATATGAAGAAATTGGAGTCCACAGTACTGGTGGAAATGTAAAATGGTACACCTGCTTGGGAAAACAGTTTAGCAGTTACTCAAAAAGTTAAACACAGAGTTACCATATGAGCCAGCAATTCTATTCCTAGGCATATACCCAAGAGAAATGAAAACATGTTCATATAAAAACTTGCACATAAATATTCATAGCAGCATTATTCATAATAGTTAAAAGGTAGAACAACCCAAATAATTCATCATCTGAGGAGTAGATAAACAAAATGTGGTCTATCCACACACTGGAATATTATTCAGCTATATAAAGGAATGAAGTCCTGACCCACGCTACAACATAGATGAACCTTGAAGATTTGAAGACTTGAAGACTTACTTATGCTAAGTAAAAGAAGCCAGGCACAAAAGACCACATATTGTATTAAACGGCCAGAACGGGCAAATCCATAGAGGCAGAAAACAGATTAGTCGTTGCCCGGGCTAGGGTAGGTAAGAATGAGGAAGTGACTACTAATAGGTATGGAGTTTGGGGGAGGTGATGAAAACATCCTAAAACTGATTGTGACGATGGCTGCACAACTCTGTGAATATACTAAAAACCATTGAATTGTATGCTTTTAATGGTTGAGTTGTGTAGTTTGTGAATTATATCTCAATAAGTCTGTTATTAAAAAAAAAAGAGTCAATAGGAAAGAATGTACTGACGCTGAAATGTTTGTGTATAAAACATATCAATTTGGAGGCTCACTCTATATTCATCACTATGTTCTACAGTGCTTGAAAAAGAGTCAATGCTGTGAGCTCCTAATGTGGGCAAAGAAAACATTTGATTGAATCACAGTATATCATTTTTAGAGCTACCAATAATAAATCCAGCAATTTAATTCTTTTTGGAATTTTCTTAATTATCTTTAAAGATTATAATGTGATACATAAATATATGATTGTTAAAAACTATAAACAATACCAAATGAAAATAAGAAGTCCCTCTTAACATCCCTGCCCATCCCTACCCTACCCAATACTACTCCTGTCCCCAGAACAAACCACTGTAAAAACTGTCCTGTGTATATATTTCCAGATTTTTACTGTATGTTTTTCTTTCACATATATGGGATAAATTCTACATATTGTCCTGTAAGTTGATTTTTTTTTCATTAACAACTATATTGGAGATATTTCTGGGGACCTTTTTATTATTAAAAGTACTTTTTAAAATTAATGAGCATTAAAGCTGGATTTATGAATTCTTTTTGTAAGTTTTAACAAGGCCTTCCTCACCCACATATATTTTCTTCGAGAACTTCCATAGGTTTGTTCTCAAGAGATTCTTCCATTTTTTAACTCCTTAAAGTATTCTTTCCTTCATAAAGTAAAAACTTTACCTCATATTAGGGCATATATCCCAAAATAGAATAAGGCTATTTTTATTAGTTAACTAGACATCAGGCAACCCTCTTAAAAATGTGAACTTCAAAACTGAAAACACCATCCTCCTCCCAAGTCACACTCTCTCTCAATAGCTAGTTCCAAGACAATGTCACTATATCCTCTATTAAAGCCTTTCTCCAAGGTTCCTCAGCTTAAAATGGACCCAAACTTTCACTCGTTCAATAAGAGCGGGTAAAGGGAAGCCTTTTACCAAAAGAAGACAAGCTTGCAAAACAGACCTGCATTTGGCTTTGTTCGTCAGCATATTCGATGGACTGGAAGACAGTGAGGGCATACTGTAGCCTTGCCATCAGTCGAGCTCTGTAACCTCGGTACCACTTCTGGATGATCAATACAGCTTTTAACACTGTTGATACATAGGACATAAAAGTCAGAGGAAAACATGGTATGTAGCTCTTGGAGGGAAATAGGTATTTCACAAAAACAAACAAACAAAAAACAGTCTTCCTGGATTCCTAGGTAATAAGAATATAAAAACTCCAAACAATGAGGTTGACCTGTATGCTTTTTATAAAATGCCCTTGAGTTTCAAACACTCAGAGAATAATGATGGCATAGCCATTAGGAGTAGAAGTTTCGGGGTAAGACTGTCTGAATTTGAATCTCAGGTCTGCTAACATTCATAGACAATATATGACTTTAGGGAAGTACTAAAACTCTCAAAGCCTCAGTCTCCTCATCTGTAAAATGGGGATAATAACAACATATACCTTTGGCACTGCCTAGACATATTAAATCTACATGTGCTCTATGAAGTAGCAATTCCATTCTTCACTATATACCACGAAGCAATTTTCACACAGTCCATAAAAGAGACATACAGGAATGCAATTTTTTTCTTTGTGGCAATAGGGAATTTGGTACCAACGCAGCCTGGCTGTCCATTGCTAGGAAAGGGAATGTGTGCCTGTGGTGGGTGCACACCATGCAGTAACTCACTACAACTGGAAGCAACAGATTAGCCCAATGCCTAGTGTAGAGCACATGCTAAGCAGATGGCAACTATAACTATTGTCTTGTGGACCAGCTAGGCAGGCTGTCTTTCTTCTGGGGCTAGTGGCCTTTGAACCATCCTGTAGCTTCACAGTATTGAAGAAAGAGATCAGGTGAGAGATAATGAGATTTAAAATTTAGTCTCTTGTGCCTCTTCAAGTTTGAGAGTAAAGAGCAATCAACACCAGCTGGTTCCTTTTATTCACACTATCATTTTTCCCAGTTGGCACATAAAAATTAAGAGTTGGCTATAACAAGAACAATTTGAGTTCTGAAAGCAGGGATTCAGCCTCCAGTCCTAGTATCCCTTGACTTAGTACTGCTGTGGTATAGGCCAGGACCTAGGGAAGCTAGGGAAGCCCATCTGAGGTTTATTTATGAGCTTCTCTAAGGTTCTTGGGTTCCAGGGACTCTTGCTTCATTATTCAGCTTTCAGAAAACCCTGGGAAATAGACTTAAGGTCAAGTGTCACAATCTTTATAGGGAAAAATCATGGGGAGAAGAACAGAGTGACTTGTTCAATATTGCCAGGCAGACAAATGGTAGTGCCATGGCTGAAATCTCAACTGTTCTCACCATATCATTATGGAGAGCCTAGGCTCACCAGAAAGGACTGTTTTGTGTGAGTCACTGTCATGATGAACCAATCCTCTCACCTCAGGGGTTCTCATATTCACTAAGCACAACAGTGCTGGTCCAGTGCTATTTACTGAGCACTTCGTAAGGGCCAGCCAATGTATTAGTTCCTACAGTCTTCACAACATCATGAAGCTGAGAGAGACGACGGACTGACTTAAGTTCATTAGCCAGTAAGTGGAAATGGACAGGGAGGATTTGAACCCAGGTCTCACTGACTCCACAGCCCAGGCTCTTAACCTCCATAGAGCTATTGACATTCTTCGGTGCCTCAGTTTCTTTATCTGCACAATGATGTAGTGGAATAAATGATCATTAAAGTCTCTTCTATTTAGTATTAGCAACATCAATAATAAATAAGCTCCTCATTTCTTCTATAATAAATAATAGAACAAAATAACTACCATATGTTAAGGGTCTACTTCAGTCCCCACAAGTATTATCATCTCCGTGTTACACATAAGGAAACTTTGAGTTCAGAGAAGCAAGCATGTTGCTCAAAGTCACTTACCTAGTATGGACTCAGATCCTCTCGCTCCCATGATAGCCAGTTACTTCATTCCCTAATCTATTTGTACCTTTCCTCCCTTTGAATGATAATAGCACCATTTATTGAATGCCTACTATGTGCCTGGCACTAGCCAGACACTTTACATGTGTTGCCACTTCTACTCCTCCCCAACATGGGGAAAGAGGCAAGCTAAGCCCCCTCTCCCATCTCTGCCTTGCTTCTGTGGAGTCCCTTGCTAGGATCCCCACCCAACTCTCCAAGGGAGGAGCTGCTGTTTTGTTTGGTGAGTGCACAATGTGCTCATTATGCTCGATTACACATGGATGCTGTGCCTCGGAGGGTATGCAGCCGTGCTCAGTTCCCTGTCTTGCACTTCCTCTTCTATTCCAAAGTCAGGAAGCGGAACTGCTCCCACCCCAGCCCCACTTGGGAATCAGCCATCTCTGTCTATGCTTGCACTCCTGTACCTGAGCGTGCATGCCACTAATTAAGCTATTGTGTCTCAGCTCTCACCCCACCCTTCTCCAGTCACTCAGTGGGGCTGAGGCTGGGGCTCTGCAGACCCCATTTCAGCTTTGCCAGTTGCCCCCTGTTAGGCTCTGCCAATAGGGTCAGAAGAGGGACAAGGGACATACTCCTTCCTGTTTCTAATAGTGTAACCTAGCAACCGCTCTTCACCCTCTGCAGCAGCAGTTGGATGCAGCTTGCAGCTTACCTAGCCTTTGCAAAACCGGCCTCATGACAGCCCCTGGGACATTAGCACCAGCTGAGAAGCACCACTTCTCAAAGGTCTGAGTTACAGCTCTGCAGACCCTCCTCTACATCCCTAAATTGGAATAAATCCAATCTTTTCCCATTGTTCTCTCAGCCCTAGGGGTAGTAACTTTCTTGTAGTTGCTACCTCTACAGACCTTAGAGTTTCCGTTCAGTTACCTAGTAACACCTGGATATCTACTTAACAATGCTTTACATTCCCTTCTCTCTGTTCAAATCGCTCTGTGGTTTCCGCCTCCTGACTGAACCCTGCCTGATGAGCTAGTCTCAGGAGGGTGGGAAAAATAGGTCCTGCTTAGACCTCAAGCCTCCAACTTCCTAGGTGTCCCAACTCAGGCCCACGCTAGAGTTCTACATTGGGCTTTTGATTAGTTGTGTGGCGGTTGATAAGTTGGCCTATGATCCACATCCTGCTGTTGTCCCTTGGGCATACAGTTCCTGCAGAAACCTCTCCAGAAGAGGCAAGGAGACTGGCAGGGCAGGGTTGAGCATGCCAACATCACAGCTCCAAAACCTCACCTAATTCCTATGTGCCCACCCACCCCCTGCGAGACACTAGCCAGCTAAGGACCCTCCCCTGGAGGAGAAACCTCCAAAATAGCAAAGGGTAGAGCTCAGATATGATAGACCCTACCCGGAGGGGTCACTGGCTCCAAAACCCCCAACCCTGCTCAGAGAGCTGAAGATCTGTGTCGTTCAGTTCTGAACTTGTCGGACAGCTTAGATTTGCTTCTGGTCTTGCTGCTTCACCACGTAACACGGCTTGTCTTCCCTGTCACATTAATTCCGTGCAGAAAATAAATAAATAAATAAAAGCTGTTGCCACGCATATCCTAAAGGCCTTTTATTTTTGCTTCTAGAAGGAAGCAACAGCACAGGTTTAATAAGTTATCTGGCCAATTTTCTGTGCCCAGCACAGGTGGTTTCTCCAGTGCCAAGCTGTTTTTTGCCTTGCTTTGTTTTTTAATAGGCTCTTTTCTCTGGTGGAGATCATTATCATGGTATTTTGCAAGAAATTAAATATCCATGTAGGGAGTTAGTAAGACAAACAATAGATTCAGAGCATCTGCTTTGTGCCAGGCATTGTGCTTGGTGCTTTATGTGGATCATCTAATTTGATCTAATTTGATTTAATCCTCCTAACCATCCTATGAAGTGTCATTATCCTTATTTTACAGATAAGGAAACTGAGGCTCAGCAGTAACTTGTTTCGGGTTACATCACTCGTCATGGGGAAATGTGGAGTCAAATCCAGATTTCTGTGATTCTAGAACCTGGGCTCATAACCATTATGCTATATCTAAACCCAGCATGGCATCTGGAATCAGCCATAAAAAAAGAGACAGTATATAGAATAGTAAGTAGCTCTCTCCCACACCTTCTCCACTTCACATTCCCTCTCCCCTTACCAGTTCTGTTGTTCTCCACAGCACTTTTTACCATCTGACATCCTATACAGTCATATGTTTATGTGTTTATTATCTATCTGTCCCTATTAGCTGAGCTGCATGAGAATAGAAACTTCATTTTGTGCACTGCTGCATCTAAGGGCAAGGCCTAGCAATGGACATTTGTTTAGTGAATAATGAATACCATCTAGAGCTGTTGTAATAATACATACTAATGTATTAGTAATGTGTTGACATAGGTATTAGTAATATATTGATTGCACACTGCCTGGAATATATTAATAGGAAACAATAAATGACAGATACTTTTTAAAAAATTGTCTCTCTCCAGACTAACAAATTCTAGTGTCCCAAAGACTTCCTAATTACATAACATTCCATTAGAAATTTCACAAACTACTGTGGACAACCAGGCTACCATCTCAGAACCCAAAAGCTTAGAGCAAGAAGAGCCAGGATGTACCGGGTTCACTCCTTTAGAGTCTGCAGTCTTTGCTCAGGCATCACTTCTCAGTGAGGCCTTTTCTGATTACCCTTTTTTACATGATACCCCTCTCCCCATTGCCTATCTCCTTCCTTAGGTTTTCTCCATAGCACATATCATCATCTGATATAGTATTGATATATATTTTTCTTGTCATTGTCTGTCTCCTCCCACTAGATAGCAATCTCCATAAAGGCTGAGATTTTGGTCTGTTGGGTTAGTTGCTGTATCCCTTGAGTTTGGAACAGTCCCTGGAACATAGTAGGTGCTCAATAAATATTGGTTGAATGAATGAATGAATGAAATTACTGACTAGTTAAGACTTTGTGGCCGGGCGCATGGCTCATGCCTCTAATCCCAGCACTCTAAGAGGCTGAGGTGGGAGTATCACTTGAGCTCAGGAGTTCAAGACCAGCCTGAGCAAGAGGGAGATCCTGTCTCTACTAAGAATAGAAAAATTAGCCGGGCATCCTGGCACTTGCCTGTGGTCCCAGCTACTCAGGAGGCTGAGGCAGGAGGAGGCTTTAGTCCAGGAGTGT